ATTTTTTCAAAACATCTACAGATGTTTTTTCAGAATTTTAATTTGAAACTAGTTTTACTAAGGTTTGTCAAAATCTATATTTCGTCCCGGGGAAGTTTTAATTCACATTCTTCTAGTACGTATGTAATTGTACCCAAACAACCATGCAGTCATGCTCATTCAGCAGCTCAAGAGTTTTTTGTGTCAGTCATAGTCAGAGGCATATTAAGGGCACATTCGTGTATTTGCATATTTGTTCCTGACTTCAAAGACAATGTACAAGAAAGACAATTGAAAACGAATACTAGTAGGTGTAGTTTGACCTTAATAACTGCATTGAGCGAAGAATGTACACATATAAGGTACATGTATATATAGTAGTCTTACAGAATTAAATTCAAAACAACAGAATGTACTCTACATACAAGTCACTATTAGAATATTCTATAAGAGGTTTTAGAAACTGATTCTTACAGGTTTTAGAAACTGATTCTTACACGTGTCCCTCAGAACAATATAAATGGACCAAAATAATCAAGAAAGCACATACCGGTACTTAGCTCTACATTTTGTTACTAGAATCCACTTCCAGTTATTCTACTTTTGGAGTAAAATCCTAACAGACTTCACCATTCATGTTGTTGCTATAAACTAACCCTAACACTGTTAAAGTCGGTACTTCGAACCTTCTAGACAGCTTCTCGTCCTTCAAAGGGCCAAAGAACCAAATAATCAAAGGTCCCTAAGAATCACACAAATATTCTTTTCAAGTACCTTAACTAGTTTCTACATAAAAGGGCCACACAAATTATAAATAATATGGTGCCTTACCTGCTCCTCAGATGAAAGACCCACGTCAATATCACCTGTACGGTGCCTTACCTGGTTCCCAGATGAAAGGGCCACGCAAATATTACCTGTACGGTGCCTTACCTGGTCCCCAGATGAAAGGGCCACGCAAATATTACCTGTATGGTTCCTTACCTGCTCCCTAGATGAAAGGGCCACGCCAATATCACCTGTACGGTGCCTTACCTGCTTCCCAGATGAAAGGGCCACGCAAATATCACCTGTACGGTGCCTTACCTGGTTCCCAGATGAAAGGGCCACGCAAATATCACCTGTACGGTGCCTTACCTACTCCCCAGATGAAAGGGCCACGCAAATATCACCTGTATGGTGCCTTACCTGGTCCACAGATGAAAGAGCCACACCAATATCACCCGTACGGTGCCTTACCTGGTCCTGAGATGAAAGGGCCACGCCAATATCACCTGTACGGTGCCTTACCTGCTCCCCAGATGAAAGGGCCACGCAAATATTACCTGTACGGTGCCTTACCTGCTTCCCAGATGAAAGGGCCACGCAAATATCACCTGTACGGTGCCTTACCTGGTTCCCAGATGAAAGGGCCACGCAAATATTACCTGTACGGTGCCTTACCTGGTCCCCAGATGAAAGGGCCACGCCAATATCACCTGTACGGTGCCTTACCTGCTCCCCAGATGAAAGGGCCACGCAAATATCACCTGTACGGTGCCTTACCTGCTCCCCAGATAAAATTTAAAGGGCCACGCAAATATCACCTGTACGGTGCTTACCTGGTCCCTACATTATGAAAGGCCCATGGAAAGTATTTCCCGTATACGCGTACGAGTACGGCGTTTTACTGGTAACGTAATCTAGACCCAAGTCCCTCACGCAGTCATTACCTGTAAGGTTTCCAGAGCTAAGAGCCGCACAAATGACTGTTTGTGGCTTATCCACCGAAGTGGAGTGATTATAGTCGTAAAGGTTGACGTTTTTTTGCCCCTAAAAGTTGTGGATAAACGCCGGCAGCCCTCCCCACCGCTAGCTATCCCTCACTGCAGCAGCTGATACCCCGACCAATAGCAGCGTGGAGCTTGCTGAGAAATTGACCAATAGCGGCGTGGCCGTCTTTCGTGGCCGTCCTACCATATTCTAGACCAAGCCATACCTCCTTCCGGACTCGAAGCCGGCTGACCACTGCGCAGGGCTTCTGCGCCGCTTGTTTAGTTTTGCATATGTAATGAGGCCACTGCGCATCGCTTCTGCGCCGTTTGTTGATTCGAACCGAACCAGAGAGAAACAAACTCAACACGACCGGACCGCTGTCGGGATCTCTGCCTAACATCGGTGTAATCCTCCTACTACAACCCGAAGAGCCGCTAAATTCTCACATCTGAGCGTAGCTGACATCTTTCCGGAGTTGTTTGTTGGGATATTTCTGGCGGCCGGTCGGTTTGCGTGAGAGAAATCGTGCCCCGATCTCGAGGGGTCTTCGCCGGGGCCGGACTGATCATTTGATTCAAAATGGCGTGTGCTACTCTGAAACGGACTTACGAGTTGGACCCCTTGCACAGCCGCCCGTCCAAGAGACCCAGGCGGTGTATGCCCATGGGCGGACACAACCCTAACGTTTCCCCTCACAGCTCCGGTCTGGCCACACCACCGCGGCAGAAGCCGTCATCCTTTCCCGAAGTCGAGCCCAAACTGACCTCAGGTAAAGTAAAAACATGGCGTTGTTTCATCTTTTCAGACTACAGGCTAGTACTACCCAGTTAGCCGGTCCGATCGGCACCTTTTTAGAACTATCCACAAACAACTGTCTATTCTATCGTCTGGCTTATCCTACTCGATACAAAGCAGTGGCTTTTGGTTTATGTAGTCTTTTTGGTTGGCCTGGGTATGGACAGCTGTGATGAGAGTGACTGGTAAGGGTTTTTGTGACACCGGCCGGGGGTTCCATGGGGGGTGTGAAGTTTGAAGTGTTGACCGACCTTTCTTCCCAGCCCGGCCCGAACACAAAGGAACTCATCTGTACGGCCATTTCTCACCAATTTGTCTCGGGTGGAACAAGCGTCGACATGCATATATTTACTCACCTCCGCGCTCTGAATAACCATGACTCTTCAGGAATCAAAGGAGTTGGTATTTAGCATAATCTCCATAAATATTATTCCCCTGATAGGCGCAGTTTGGGATAGCTAGCCGGTTGTTTTCATCTGTCCTGCCAATCACTTTGGGTTGGTTGAGAGCTGTGGTAAAGTGATCCTGAGTCCCCTGTATTGGCTATAAACTTTTAAGTCAATGGACAATGAACTGATGAAAGTATGGTTGAAATTCTGTTGGTGGGGCACTAGGGGTTGGTGTGGTGTACTTTTGTCAACATAAAATTATAAATGTATAAAGACTATTGTTCAAAATCCACGTAATACCCCAAACACTAGGGATTCCGATACTCATTGTGCCTCACTACCTCTGCACCTCTAGCCATAAAAAAAGAGTATCCGCCATAGATAACAAGCATGTGACAGTAAAACTGGAATTAGGGCAGGGTTCTGGACCCGTTCCAAGGTCACTCTAGCCCAGTTTTGGCCCAACATCCCTATAAATCCTCAACACAATGATGTACACTGAAACTTTGGAACAGTCTTCCAAGGGAGATCGCTAAGATCAGGGACAGACAAAGATTCAAACGTGAAGTTAATTCTTTCCTCAGGGCAAAACTCTGACAGCATTCTGTCTAGGCAGTCCTGCTGCTAAAAAAATGCTGAGTGAGCTGACATAGAAAAAAGAACTACAAGCACAACAAACCAAGTGAGTCAGACGCGAGATTGTCCCTGCCCACGTAATGCTGTCGTTTTAAAACCATTGTTTATCTTGCGTATCAGCAAAGAGCAGGATGTCGGTTGTTACACCTCATGCATATTCCATCTGCGGGTGTGCTATCTCTCTCTCTACCCTGCAAAGTCAGCCACCTTTTGCATAAATTACCGCAGAGGTGATAGGAGAAGCCTGGTACATGTAGGGTCCTAATCCTGGGAGGGTTAGGTTTTGTAGATACGCAATGCAAACATGGCCCACATTTATTTTGTCTCAAGAGTCAAAAGAAACAGACTTCGTGTCATGTGGATGCCATGCCACATGTTTCTAAATCAGATTCACATGTTTCACACAGACTGCACAGATTGTAACACCAAAATCCAGGCCATTTTCTGGGCTGTGTGTCCTGTCCACAAGTATAGCAACAGCTGTGTTGGAGTGCCATTTAAAACAAAATGGCTGACACATGCATTTACATCTACATAAAAAAAAAGCTACCCTAAGGACATCCCTACTGTACACACCCAAATTATCAGATAACTGCAGCCCGGAATTTAACTTGCTTGGTGATTTCCTTGCCAATTTCTTATCTGTCCAGCCTGTCAAAGGGATTGCAGAATGATCTATCATTAGGGATTGTTATGCAGATTGGAGTGGATGTGGTGTGGCATCGATCAGGGTTGAGAAAATCCCGCATCCTTCCTCCCAAACTTGTTGGATAGTTTGCCAGTCACTGGGATTTATCTAGTTTTCCTGTTAATCAGTATGGTTGAAACCTTTAATCTCCAACCAGATCTAGAGAGGTTCTAGAGATGGTATCAAATTGGCAAAGAAGATATCAATTTAGTAGAACAGTATCCATTTGCCACCCGTTTGGCTGGTGTAGAAAAAGACATCAGTGCAAAAAAAGAAAGCAGGATAAAAAAAACGACTGACAACACATCAAAAATAAGTTGCAAATTTAAGCCTAAACCTGTGCTTAAAGAGTATGAAAGCTTGAGATCTATCTTCTAGTCAGTATCCTCGAGCAATTCATGCTTTATGTAGAATGTGAAAGACGGGTGATTTGGCTATGGTGAAAATAATTGTCAGTAGGAATGGAGCTCTGATATACTCACAGCAAATCGTTGTTCCTGTCTGATGTTACATATGAAACATAACCTGACCATATAAATCTCGGAGTCTGACTATTCAGCAATCTCAGTGAGGTAGAACTAATGTAGGATGCAGTAATAAAGACAGCAAGGCTTGCAGCAGATGTTAAATGTGTCTGCTGCGTGGCCAGGGGCCCTTCCTGGTTTGTACTTCCATCTTTGGTCGATCGCATAATTTACCAAGGTGGTTAAGGATATCTGACAAAAAGGTGTCTCGCAATGAAAAATATTTACCGGTACACCCTATTTTCATGCCACCGCTGCTTCCTTCTTGTCCTCTTTTGCTAGGAAAATCGGAGCAAGGTGTCCACTATTAATATTCCCAGTTGCATAGTCCATTTCTGAGTGTTATGTATGATGACAAGGGACTAAAGTTCGTCCCCTGTGACCGTACTTATTTGATTATCCTGGTGCTTGAGTGCTTTGAAGTCAAACCCCCTGCTGGCCCCAGTCCACCGTATTCACATGACCAGCAAATTGTCCTTGTCAGCCATGGAATTTGTCCACAGCATTTTTGCTTGTGCCAAAGACTTCTGTCTTTTGACAATGTCCTAGCCTTGTGCTGTTGTGGAATGTTTTTGTATGTAGGAAAAGGTGAACAAATGCCCAAGCATGGCGTGTTATTCAAATGCAGTAGCGCTTAGTGCAAATAAAAGGTGTTCTTTTTCTAAAGATGCTACTTTCAATGCCATACATTTTGTGTGAGATGTTTCTTTGTATTGCATGTGTCACAGCAAAGACTGTATCACCAAGAACTAAATGTCACTATGTTCTCCTTTTCCAGTGATTAAATGTGTGACCATTTTCTCCTTTTCCAACGACTAAATGTGTCACCGGTCACTATTTCCTCCTTTTCCAATGATCAAATGTTTCACTATTTTCTCATTTTCCAGTGTTTAAATGTCACTATTTTCTCTCTTTCCAATGATTAAATGTGTCACTATTTTCTTCTTTTCCAATGATCAAATGTGGCTCTTTTCCCCTTTTCCAATGACTAAATGTGACTATTTTCCCCTTTTCCAATGACTAAATGTGACTATTTTCCCCTTTTCCAATGACTAAATGTGAACATTTTTTCCCTTTCCAATGACTAAACATGTCACTATTTTCTTTTTTCCCTCCAGAACAAATTTCCCAGTTCATTCGGGATGAGTACCGCCGCATGCACCGTAGGCGCCGGCTGTGGGTAGCAACAGACTCAAACGTGCAACAGCCCGCTGGCACCTCCCTGTCCCCAAACCACCACGGCTCCCTCTCACCCATGCACGAAAGCTCCCACATGGCCGGCGGCTCCTCCCCAATGCATTATGGGGCGTCACCGATGCATTATGGGACTCTTTCGCCGACCCACGGGAGTTCGTCGCCGATCCCGGGGACGCAGTCGCCGATCAACAAGGACAAGCCGCTGTTCTCGATGCGGCAGGTGAGCATGATCTGCGAGCGGATGATCAAGGAACGCGACACACAGGTGCGAGAGGAGTACGACAAGGTGCTGTCCTGCAAGCTAGCAGGTGAGTCACGCTTCTGCTGGTTTATTTTACTCGAGACTTCATGAAGAAGGATCTTAAACTGTGATTGCCAAGAATTAGCTTAGAAAAATATTGACTGTACAGGTGAGATCACGCTTCTCTTGGTTTTGGTTGTCTTTTGGACGCCCTGTACTGAAAATACTAAGAAATTGGACGCCCTACTTTTTGGTAGGACACCCTAAAGACGCCCTATTTTTTCCACTCCCAACCCCTGCCATGCACACATGCCTCCCTTCAGCCTTACTATAAATACAAAAATGATGGTTTACTGAAGGAAAAAACTGAAAATCCTCAAAATTTGCACCTCAAAATGCAAAAAGTAGTGCTTGAGAGCATTGTGAATTTCAAAAAAGCCCCCTCCCCCCCCAAAGCCCGCGCACTGCACATCTTTGCTGCGCATAGCAAACAATAAAAAAAAATGGACACCCAACAAAAAAATCCTAGCTAAAAGCCTGTGGTTGAAGGTTTATGAAGAAGGATCTTAAACTACGCTGGCTATATATAGGAGAATATTTGCCAGGATAGTTTGGTCGCCTTGGGGTTTGACTGGCCACGCAGTTAGGGAAAGAGACAACCGTCTGCGGCCGGACTCCCCTGGCCAATTTCACTCTCCTTTTTGCCAAATGCTACGATCCATATTCCCGTAGAAAGGCCTGGTGGAGGCTAATCTTAAACTGTGAATGCTAAGAATTGACACATTCTAAGTTACTGCACAAGGTCCTTTGACAGAGGACGTGTTGAACAGTGAGAAATTTGGTTATGACCAATTCTTTTGTTGGCAGTCACAGTTAAATAGGCCTTCTAAATGTTTGTTTTGCATGTCTGGTAAATAGCTACCTCACATAACACACCAGTTCTTTATACAGGGTAGTTAAGTCTCATGAGAGTTTGCATAGTCCAAGCTATGACATGCCGTCGCTAGTCCAAACACATCTCCCTTCTCTTTCTTAGACTTAAATTTATTCTCACAAGCATTTCATTGTACCCAAAATGAAATGTTATGAGAATGTGTTAAAATCAAAGGAAGAAAAGGAAGACATTTTGGTTACCACTGAACACCTTCCTAAGTCTCGTTGTGTAACGAACAAACTGCAATTGTCTAAAAGCCGACCATCAGAACACATCATCATTAGGCCCTGCACAGCTCTGGGTTGAAAGGTTTTATCGTCCTACGCTGTGTTATAAATCTCCTGTGGGTAGTTCCAGGCAAGTCATTTCCTGGTGGCTTTAAATAATGCAGCATGTGCCCCTACTGCTGTGCTATCAATATTGATACATGAAATACAGAGTCAGCCTTTATGTATAATACGGTGCTGGGGAAAACGGATTTGGTAAGGAATGGAATGGAATGGAAAGGGGGATTGGAAGGGTACAATTCTTTGGCACTCTAGCGAGTGTTTTGTTTGTGATTTGTGAATATAGTCTAGATGCAAATACAGGCTTCTTAACTCTCTATCCGGTTTATCGTTTCTAAACATGGTGAATAGATGATATCATATGCTGGCAGGAACAGTATCAATCATCAATGCTGATTTAAAAATTGAAATGTTAGAAACCACAGCCAATACTGTACACCCATGGATTGTACTTAGGTTTCCAGAATAGCTGAAACATTATATTATGACTCCTATTCTAACCCATGATGTCCTGTCTTCTGTTGTTGCAGAGCAATATGATGCCTTCATCAGGTTCAACCAAGACTATTTGCAGAGGCGATTTGGCGAGACAGCCGCCAGCTGTGAGTTTTCATCTATGTATTCAGTTTATTGTAAATCTTTGCTGATAAGGATAGTAAGTGTAGCTTGTTAGGTATGCTCAATGTGTCAGTAACTCTAATTATTCAGGGGCTAACAGTTATAGGTTTTTCTTTACCAGAATATAAAACTTTGTGCTTCTGGTTATATTCATATGGTCCTGGTAGGATATTTGCTACCACATTTTATCTAGCAAGAAATTTTACATTGGCGAATATTTGATCAACTCAGTCTTGACTAATACAATGTATCTTCTTTTGCCACTCAAACATAACCTAAGTCCTTGTACCCTTTATTTTACAGATGTATCATAAGCCCAGCAGCTCCCAATACAACCAGTCAACCAACTAACCCTGTAGCAGTCACAACCAGCCAGCTATTTCTTCACTGTACCACCAACAACCACCCTGTACCACCTTACTTACACCAGTACTGGGAACAGCCGGGACTCAACACTGAAACTCTGGACGCTTCAACTGTTCAGGAATAAATCCCGAGAACTGGCTAAGGATTTTCCACTTGTAACAGAGCTGACTTATAAAACACTAGGCAATTTGAGTCTCAAAAGTTCTTTTTGTGCCGTTCAGTGGTGCTTTGTTGGAAGTCTTGCATTTCTACCAGTTACTGGATGTATAATAAAATGGTTTTCCTTTATGTCTTTCACAACACATATAAATAAAGTTGTAAAGATGTTTAGATCTAGCTTCAAAAGTTTACCAGAGATTTTCATAATCTTTTTACATATCCAGTGAACAGTGTTACTACCTTACATTCTCTATCTGATACAGTGTATAGTCTTATTCACATTAAAGATTACTGGCCAATTGTGTCAATCTTCAATTGTATCTGAGTACGGAAATGTCTCAGCCTTATCCAGTAATATTTTCTATTGCTACAGAACAATGTGACCAGCTGAATGTGACAGTTTGCAGCATTCTTTTATTGTGCAGACATTATACAGTAGACTTGTATTGGTTGAATAGAAACCTGGCTTATTATCCTGTACAGTTGTACAAATGTTATGGTGTCACCATTCTAGGGATTTAATGATGTATTTTGCCAATGTTGAGCAGCATTGTTATTTTACCTGCTATACTTAATTGTTGTTGTTTTATGATTTGTTGTTTTTTTGCCACTTGTGTAGGATTCTCTTGTTTACCATTCCAGATGTTCTTATCTGCAGAAAAATGGCATACTAGAGTTTTAGAAATCTTCCTATTGGCATACAGTCCATATACCCCAACAAGACAGTGTATTAATAATCTGCATGTCTCTTGATTTTTGTGGAAATACTAGAAAGAAAATAATTCTCAAGTCAAAACACGTCGTCAACTGCCGATAGTGTGCTGAAGAATAGTAAAAACTGCTGCTATCAAAATAAAAGTGTGCCGTTTTTTTGTTCTGAGGCACAACTGAGATAAAAACCTGAGGAACTGAAAGATCAAGTTTATATGATAACAGCCCTGTTTAGTACTTGGACTACTGTAGTGGTTAAGAAGACATCTAATGCACATAAAGTCAAGCCTTACAGGTGTTAAGATTAAAACTGTACTAGTAACTTTGGACCTGTTTTGTATGGTCAATACTTTCTGCATATTGTAAATAGTACATTGTTATTCCCTTGTTTACTATGATAGTAGTGTATGTAGTTCACTGTTGGGGACTTTTCCTCATTAGGTATGCAGCGTAGTGAACACCCCCGTCTGCACTGTGGGATCTTCAATACGGGAGGAATTTTCCACAGAAGACAGAGCAATACCATTGCGTCGCAGGGGGGTGTACAGCTGCTAGGATAATAGATCAGTAGTCCCAGAATTGGTGAAACAGGGTTTGTAGACAAAAAGAAGCAGGTTGATGATTTTTTGGCAATGTTGATACTTGCGAGAACTAGCATGATGTTAAGAGTTTGTTACATTTTGTATCTAGGGGGAACTTGCTTATTGCAGGCACTGCAATGGGCCTTCGTGAGGGAAGGTATGGACAGGATTTGTACTGTACTCCATTTTACCTACACACGAAAAGGCTGTGGTTTCCCTGCCTGTCAACCTTAACTAGCCTGGAATAAGCTTGGGAGAATTACCAATAAACAGACAAAGATGTTTAATGACGAGTTTTGTGTTTTCTTTGTGTAGTTGCTCTAATATGTTGCTTCACCTTGTGTAATAGAAGACTTTAACTAGATGTAGATACCCGAAGATATTTTCTTAACTTTAAAAGAAACAGTATAATTTAGGAAGGTGGCAATCAAATAACAGGAACAGAAGAAGATATCCCCAAGAAAGTCGTAAAATTACTATATCTGTTGATATGTACGTCAAAGGCCAACATGCAGTGACAGCTATAGCAAGCACTCAGCGGGAAACAAAAGCTGATCTCTGATTGGCTATGGGGGAAATAGGTGACCAATGAAATCCAGCGTTACATAATCGCCCTGTTTGTCTAAAATGGCGGTCCGAGGTTGTGAAATCCTGTGCGAGTCAGCTATGTCGGCAAATTTCTCCGTTTTTCTGTCCGCTTTCAACGCTTTCTCTGCCCCCAGTGGACGTCATTTCAGCTAGACTTGGGTGAGTCAGAATTAATGCGAAAATTTATCCCTATTCGGTGTTTTTAGCTTATTTTTCGGCCGCTATCTCGACCGGCCCCTCTGGAGTTCCATCCGGAATCGATAGTTTAGACAGCGGCGCCACGCATACGTGGCATATCTGTGTTTTGTCAACTTGGTTTCAACACCCTTGTTAGTTTAATATATTCTCTGTCTGTCTTTTTCTTTATTCAAGGCCAATGCAATGATATTTCAGTTATTTCGTACAGCTAAACTACGCTGCTGTTGAAATTGATTTGAAAGTGGGAGGGGGGCGGATAGTTTGTGGGTAAGTTACACGAAGATAGAACGTGATGAACACGTGAAGACACGCAAATTTTTGCTCACTGCGGTTCTGTTGTCATGAAAGAACCGTGATCAAGAGTTGAAACCACAACACCTGTTTGCGTTGTCTTTCGAAAGGGGTAAATTACATGATGGGGACAAACAGGGGGCGTGTCATTTCTGGATTGGGGGAGGGTGTGTGACATTTTGACGTCATTGGGGACAAACCAGAAATAAACATCCCACATATGACATAACAAATATCAATGTTTGACATATGATATTAGCCATTAAGTAAGAAATTATTTTAATACAGTGAGTTTGTATTATAATGCTTATAGATTTTGACCAAAAAAATTATGGTTAACCAGATTTTTAAACGTCTGATTTTTAATTTTTTACAGTGCCACCTTTACAATTATGGCTGCCTGAGAGGAGGGAGAAGCATGGAGCAGTGCTAGGGACTGGGGAGGGGGGTGATGTTATTCTGACTCTGGGGAAAGAGCCAAGAGGGGATCTGACTTCTGCCAAAGACTGTTGAGAGTTTGTTTATTCACTCAAACTGCCTACAAATATATTATTTTTGTTAAAAATCTTGATAACAGTGTTAAGACTTTGTGGAATCACTAAGAACTGTGCCAGTATTCATATAAAGCCATACATTCTTAATAAAAGAGTACTCTATTTTTCTATATAAACAAAAAAGCAAGAAAAAGATGTAAAAAAAAAGTTGGACTGCTTCAGACTTGAACCAAACTGTTGATGACACCTCAGACAGTCCGGTGCTGTAGGAGTTGGTGTTGTGTAGTAGGACAGGGGAGGGGGAGGGGAGAGAGAATACTACGTCAACGACCTTTACTCAAGGTCAAACTGTTGCCATGGAGAAGGTCGCCGTAGAACCTGACTGCACGCCGCGATGCCGCTCATTCCGCCACGCCCGGGACCTGTTCTCGGTCATCACCCAGGGAACGCTTGCGCACGTGAGGGCGTTCTTCGGGAATTGCCACAACTCGGGGACCGTGTTTGACGAGCATGGGCGCACGGCGCTGCACGTGGCGGCGTCCTGCGGGAAGTGGGCCGTGGTGGAGTGGCTGCTGGGATTGCGGCGGGTGGAGGTGGGGAGGAAGGACTGGGAGTCAGGCTGGACGGCGCTGCACAGGGCAGCGTTCTACGGACAGGTCGCCTGCGCGCTGCCTCTCATCAGGGTAAGCTGGTGTGTTTAAGTAGCCTAGTATCCAACTAATTCAGTCCCTACTGTCTTCCTGTTTCTTTCTACTGAAAAGTATCCATCCCCTATTATCTCTTCCCTTTTCTTTGATGCAGTATGGGAAATAGGGAGTGGTTGCTCTCATCAGGGTAAGCTGGTGTGTGTAAGTATCTGTCTCTGTTTCCTTTCATGGGGAACTGGAAAGGGAGAGAACATCTTGAACAACATTTTAGGCCATGTAAACTTAATTTTATGGACACCGTCTTTTGATGGTTTGTCAGACACAATATGTTCTAATGTATCTACATTGTATTCATTTGTTGTCCAGGCCTCAGCCAGTCTACAAGCCCAGGACAAGGAGGACCTGACCCCGCTTGACCTCATCAGGAGAGACCTGCCGGATTATGTGGAGTTCAGAACAACAGGTAAGGTTGCCCCATGGGAGTTTAGATAATTTTCATCTTACTACAATCAAAGGAAGGAACGTTAGACATCCAAGCAAAACATTACATAAGACAAAATAAATCAAGCAGCTGGATGAATTGTCAGATTCTTTATTACCATGAAAATCAATCCAATAGGAGCTCAGGGTTTTCTGTGACTTTGGAAACCAGTCATGGCTTCCTACAAGTATGGGCCTGACCAGTAGAAGGGCTGCTAGACTACCCTGTGAAACTTGTACCAGATGGATTTACCTTTATTACACAGACTGTCCTTTAAAATATTTTATGTAGCTTGTTGTCCTTGTATCCAGGGTTACCCCTTTGAAATAATCCTGTAACTAGTTTGGCTGTCTTTTGTACAGCTGAACCAATAAAATGACATAAATGAATATTACACAGACCCAGCTGATGCCTACAGCTGGGGAACCAACACTAACTTCACCCTGGGGCACGGCAGTCAGCAGAGCAGGCAACATCCAGAGGTGGTGGAACACCTGTTCAAGGAGGGGGTCAGTATCGCACAGGTGAGACATCTTACAGTGTGAACACCTGTTTAAGGAGGGAGTCAGTGTCGCACAGGTGAGACACCTTTCTTGTTCGTCCCTCGTTGTCAAGAATGACCCATGGCCTATGGCCTTGGCTCTTCACTGTCTCGGCTGATGGATCCGGAGGTGGCTGATGAGGCCAATGCGAGCCAGGAAACCTTCCCAACATGTTGAGCACCAGTGGGTGTATGTACAGCTGTTAGAAAGGGATGGAAGTTTAAGTTGTCTTTGGGAAGGAAGCAGATCATACAGACTTATGGCATATGGCATCCTGAAATTAGATCTTACCTCCCTTTACAGCAAGGCAGTTGTGTGTTAAAAAGTCCTTAAGAGTAGCCTCAGCATCAGTGTGCAAGAGCGCCAAAATGGCGATATGCTAACCTGTATAAATAAATAAAATGAAATGAAAATGAAGCAAGTCTAACCCTCAGATTATAGGGAACAACAGACGTTAAACCGGATGGTGATTATGCATGAGTGTATAGAGTATGGATGTTAATATCTGTATCTGTATAGCCGGTATAACCGCCTTTTGGCATAACACACCAGCTGATATTATTATTGACACCCCCTGTGTTTTGCAGGTTGTCATGTGCAAATTCCACACAGTGTTCCTGTCCCACAGTGGGAGGGTGTACACCTGTGGGCACGGCCGGGGTGGCAGGCTAGGCCACGGGAGTGAGCAGACTTACATGGTAGGAAATCTGCACCAGTTTGTATGGAATCTATGATTGTCGATGGAGCTGATGAATAAGTACTCTACATGCTTTCACTTTGAATTAAAGCTCATTTGTGTTGGTAGAATCCATAGTTGTAAAGTTCAAAGTCAATCAAACTTTGTTCCAACACAAGAAAGGAAATCACCATAAGTTTTCGGTAGATCTCGTCAACCTTCGTCAATTTATGGTTAGTTCCTTTCTTGTGTTGGAACAAAGCTTGCTTTAACTTTCTTTAACAGTTCGTAAATGTATAATTCAGCTTCAATGTATGACAAATTTGATAATAAAATCTTTAGTGTTGAACTTATAGTTTTAACACAGTGATACATAACTATTTTGTAGGTGCCCACCCTAGTGGAGGGTCTTGCCTCCCAGACTTGTATCCAGATTGCAGCAGCCAGGGATCACACTGTGGTGCTGACAGATGAGTGAGTTTGTCTACACTTCTTTCTGATATCCTTACAAAACAGTCTTATTTTGTGCTGCCTTAATGCTTTTTTTCTTAGTGCCATATGTAACAGCATGGTGGTAGAATGCACTGGGCCAATGTATCAGGGATTTTCTGCCACCTGTTAGAAGTGCAATAAGTGGTCGTCAAACCAGATCAGCTTATAAACTGAACACTCCTCGCAGCAGAACTGATCGTTATCAGAATAGTGCCCTTCCTTTCATGATCCGCCTGCTTAATATGTAACACTGTCACCTTTTTAAACCTAAGACTTATTTTAGTGTTACCAGTGTCCGTCTGTTTTGTTATCTGCTACGATATTAATTTGCACTTGAAACGTCGTTGACAATATTTTATATACATTTTATGTAATGGTTTATTTCTATTTTAATCGCTTAATATGACGTTTTATACTAATAATGTGATGCCCCAATGTCAATTCAGCCTCTGGCTGCCATTTTTGGGACAGTGTTGTTGTGCTTTAATGCAAATAAACCATTGATATATGTACTGTGCCATGTATAACTGTTTTAAGGATTTTTTTCTACCAAAATAAATGATCTGCTTGTTTGTACCCAGAAACACGGTGTTCAGTTTTGGACTGAACTATTGTCACCAGCTGGGGGTGCTGCCTGCTCCTAAATTCTCCTCCACACCCAGACAGGTCAGTGACCTACAGGTCAATTCCACTTTGAGGTATAGCTTCCAGGGTTTCTTCATCTGTTAGCCTTGAACTTCTGCTATATGGCCATACCTACCATTTGGCATTGTGTATCATATTTCCAGAATTTTTTTTATTAACTTCATATTCACCACAAAACAAGGCTCATGAGAGCCACTCAAATCCTTTGGGTTACTGTACTAGACAGTGAGGACAGATGTTTAAGTTTAAGGTTATACCCATTTGGAAAACAATCACGTGGTAGCATGTTCCGTAGTTATTTTGCTAAATGTCAACATCTGGAATCCTGTGTATAACTGCTCCTCCTAGTGGGTGAGTAAACAGATTTAAGTATGGATGTTTCCTTGCCCTGTAGGTTGCCCCGAGGTACCTGAAGAACAAGCGTATAAAGGGTGTGGCAGCGGGGAGGTTCCACACGGTTCTGTGGACTGATGATGCCGTGTACACCTGTGGGCTAAACGCTGGGCACCTCGGTAAAAACTGGTTCTAAATCATTAGTCATGTAAAACAACCACAATTGAAACAATGAATTTTAAATGCATTGGTAAATTGACTGTAGCAAGTATGAAGACAAGGACTTTCATCCATTGATGTGGCCAAAGTATGAGCATTTTGGAATTGATTCAGAACCTGAATACTAATATTTTTTTTTGCAAATCACAAAAAAAATATCAAGCAGGCAAGTCCGAGTACCAAGAAATTAATTGATGTGGCCTAGTGTGTGTTTATGATATTGGGTTGGTTCACTTTTTTTCCCCCATGTCATCAGGTTTACCAAAAGGAGACAGGACGCAGGTCCAGCCTCACCTGGTCTCCGCACTCAACCTGAAGGACATTCACATCGCCATGGTAACAGCGAGCGACGGGGCGACGGTCATCGCCACACAGAAGGGAGACAACTACGACGTGTTCCTGCTGACAGACTATCAGTGCAGGAAGATTGCTTCCAAGTCAGTCTAAATACATGTATAAACTAAATGTACTAGTAAAGGAGCAAGTTGGCAGAACGTACTGCACCTGCACGAAACCTGTAATGTATTGTTCATAGCATCTCATATAAGGTAATATTCTGATGCAAAAGTCCAACGAAAACCATTTAAAAATCTGGGTTTTGTGCAGGCGCAGTACGTTCCGCCGACATGCTTAGTAAATCTTGAGGTATAACAGTAGGAAAAACGATAAAAAGTAACATTTTAGTTGGGAAGTCATTGTTTACGTTTCTACTTCTTTCTTGATGTTCAGTGCTCATTCTTTACTTGATACCATATACATGTGTGTTGTACCTGTTTTTTCCAGGCAGCTGCACCTGACAAAGCTGGCCGTGTTTGGGGGCCATCTGGACTCCAGTCTGGACAGAGACACTCTACAGGAACAGGGGGGAGACGACTTGGTCGTGCTGGCTCTTAACTCAGCCAATAAGGTAAGCTGTTACATGATACCAATGGCACGTGTCAGTTGTAAACAGCCATTTCATTGGACAAGTGATTTGAATAGTGCATCAGTGAAGATTAAACATCCAGGTAATAAGATATGCCAAAAAAAAAACACTCAAGCAACTGTATATGATTTTGGAAACAGACGTTTTAGCTAGCATCCACTACCATTGGTCCGGGACACTGGAGAGTTATCAGAAAGTCATGTTTATAAAGTTAACAAGAACTACTGATTGATGTGCAAATAATTGATTTGTAATAATTGAAAAGTGTAAGATTCAAATTTTCCTGCCAGCCGTCTGTTGTTTTTTCATCTTTACTTCACCCTAAATTTTACTTTGAATTAAGATGATCTGGTCTAAGATGTTCTCCTGTCTTCAGGTGTACGTCTGGAGACCGTCCTACTCTTCCTTCCACCGCTGCTCGTGGAACTTCCGACACCGTGACCTGCTGGTGACGGACCTGAGCGTGCACAAGTACGGGATCGTGCTGTGTACGCCGCAGGGGGAGGGGTTCACGGGAAGCTTCGTCAGTCTCAAGAAAAAACAGGAGGCCATAACCAACAAAGGTGAGGATGTTTGATAACTGGGAAAGCAGAAATATACAGTTTGTCATGATGAAGTAGAATGAAAAGTGTTTCCTATACCCAAAATTGTACATCACAAGAGAAACTCTCAATGGAGTGTGTCAGTTTCACACAAAAAAAAAAACATTCTTCTTCTTCTTCTTCTTCTTCTTGGGTACTCTCTAACCACCCCTACTGGGGTATCACTGAGAGGGGGGGGGTGCGACGGACTATGGTTGCGCGGCCAGAAGCCCGGCCTTGAAGGCCTCCACTGTCTGGGCTTTTACAAGCTGGCCCGGTAACTTGTTCCACTCATTTATCGTTCTTGGAAAAAAAGAAAATCTAAAACAGTCTGTTTTGGCAGGTATTGCTTGATACTTATATTCATGACTTCCTCTGGTACGCCTATGGGCAGGTTTGAGGTATTGTTCCATTTGAATATTAATATGTCCATGAGCAATTTTATATAAAGATATCAAGCGAGCGGTTCTCCTTCTGTCAACAAGTAACGGCCACTGGAGGCACTTTAGCATGTCAGAAACACTGCTGGTATAGTCATAATCACTAACAGCCATTCGCGCCGCCCTTTGTTGGACTCGCTCCAACGCCTGGGAACCACCGATGGTGTGGGGATCCCATACAGTCGCACAGTACTCCAGGTGTGGGCGTACAAGTGTTCTGTAGCATGTAGATTTGACACGAAGAGGACAGTGCGAAAGGTTACGGCGGATGACTGCCAGTATCCTATTAGCTCTACCAGTGACATAATTTATATGTGTGTCCCATTTCATATCCTGTGATAGTTGGACTCCAAGATATGGATGGGTTTTAACACTAGTAAGATTTTCTGAACATTCTATAGCCATTAATGTGAGAATGACTATGGGTGAGAGGCATTTCTCTTAGCAATGAAAGACATGCAGTTCTGGAAACTAAACTGTGTTTACTACACCTCTTCAAAGTAAGACTTATGATGATGACAACATTTTTTCAGGTGTTGAAGGCAAAGACAAGACCTTGTCCACGTTTGACTCCTTCTCGCTGTCTGCTGTTGTGGAGAAGTTTGAGAAGGAGGAGAAAGCCGCGGTGCAGCTGGAGAGGATCCCGTACATCCACCGCGCTACGGGCGTCACCTCCGACCCCAAGGGGAGGAACTTTGTTGCTCTGCAGGTGGACCCAAAGGCAAGGTAAGGGGAGGAGTCAGTAATTATGTAGAGGGGGTTGCATGCAGTGTTCTTCATTTTATATTTCAGTCGCTATGCTAAGTTTATATGCCATGAATATTACCACTAAACATTGAGTAAAACACCATACAAGGTAGCTACTTTTAATACAAATATGTACCTTGTCTTGCTGTAACTGATACAACAAATCTTGACTTATAACTATACATGAATGTTGTATTTCTGCCCCTGCAGCCTACTGGAGGTTCCGACCATCAGTCCTTCAGACATGGGGAAAACCTTCAGAACACTCCTGGACGAGGCCAGTTGCCATGACAACATCCATGATGTCATCATGCAGGTGGGTACAGTTGCATGATGTCATCATACAAGTTACACAGTTGCCATGGCAATATCAATTATGTCATTGCACAGTTTTCTTTGGATACAACCAAAAAGTCCTTCAAGTGCAGATTGTTTGTCTTACATAAAATATAGAAGCTCAAATGCATGATTTTCAAAATAGATTATTTGCAGTAACTTTGAATCCTTTTTTTCCCTCCCAGCTCCATGGCCAGTCCATCCCAGCCCACAAGTTCATCCTGTCCTCCCGTAGCGACTACTTCCGCAAACTTTTCCACTCCGACAACACGGAAGGTTCCGACTCCAACCATCCCGACGTCCTCAAGGTCAGCCAGGAGGTCGTCAAGGTCGAGAAGGTCAACCATCACATCTTCCTGAACCTCCTCCAGTTCATCTACTCGGACACCTGTGACCTCCTGACCCCGGGGTACAGGCCAAAGTTCAAGATCAAAGTGGAAGGGTCAGAGGGCAAAGGTGGAGGAGACTCGGGGATGTTGAATGGAGGGATGAAGAATGGAGAGTTCGGGGAGTTTTCCCTGGATGACATCGCTCACCAGTCTGCCTTCAGTGTGTACTCACAAGGGAAGAAGTCTCAGAAACACAAGAAGGAGACCAAGTCTAAGGAATCCAAGTCTAACCAGCAGAGTGAAGATGACTCTTCAAACCCTGTTAAAGTTCTGCAGAACACTGCCAAGAGGTTCGGTGTTCAGAATCTGGTGAAGAGGTGAGTTTGGATTGTCCTGGGTGCATTTATGATTATACTGTTATTTTGAAAGTATGTTGAAAAATGGCACATTCTGTGAAACAAAAATTGGTCAGATTCTAAGTCTTTTACAACAACAGCTTCTTTCACAGGTTACAAAATTATGGCACTTTCACTCTGACTGGTGTTTCCCTCAGAAATATAACCCTTCAAAACTAATATTCAGTGCCATCTCCTTGTGTATTCACCTATACTGCATACCAAGTTAGTCCATTGAGTAGAAGTGGTCTTTGGCCCATGCAGTGAGTAGATATGATCTTTGGGCCTTGCTTTGAGCAACAGACAAAAAAGGAAAATACATGTATGTTGTTTTGTACCACCAGGCTAGAAGGGGTGAGGCTGGTAGGTTCCAAAGTGGAGATCACAGAGAAGAAGCAGACCCAGCGTTTCCGGTTCAGCCAGTCCAAAAGCCCGCATCTGTACGACCTGTCCATCCGGTGTGTGGATGGGGAGGTGGTGCCGTGTCACAAGTGTGTCCTGGTGGCACAACTGGAGTACTTCCGCAGTATGCTGGGGTCTGGCTGGATGGAGGTGGGTTTTACATGTATATTACATTATGTAATGTTGTAGTTAAGAGTTTGTTATGAGTGTCCAGTGTGTGTGTAGATGGGGAGGTGGTGCCATGTCACAAGTGTGTTCTGGTGGCACAACTGGAGTACTTCCACAGTATGCTGGGGTCTGGCTGGATGGAGGTGGGTTCTACATGTAGATCACATCGGAATAGATTATAACTGTCTCTGTGTGAATATCGGAGTGTTTAAGATTTCGGGCATGATGATAGATTTGTTTCACATATTAGTGCTACCATGTAAAGTTTGAGCATAATCTTGGAGTTTGTTACTTTACTACATTGCAGACTTCTACAAGCACCCTACATGTTTTGTCCCTCCTACTGTAGTTCCTGCATACTGTAACACTACAATTGACGTACATTATCATGACTGTACAGTGCATCATCCTTTACATCAGTTGAAGATGACAATAGATTCTTCTGAAGAGGTGCACTTTCACATGTATAATTGTATTGATCATTAGCAAACTGAAGCAACTCTTTAGCTGCCAATTCCCTATTGGTTAGGCAGCAGGGAGAAGGTTCGTCAGCAATCAGTTTCTTCATATTCCAGACATCAGCAGACACCCCCCTGGAGTTACCCATCCCGGCAGACGTCCTGTCCCATGTGTTAGAGTTCCTGTACACCGATGACTGCCGGCCTGTGAGAGAGGCACAGAACATGGAGCTCCTGTGTAACGTCCTGACCACAGCTGATCGACTCCTCATCACCAGGCTCAAGGAGATGGCTGAAGTCTCACTCGTCAACCTCAGTAAGTTACTGTGCTGGTTTATATTGTAGTAAATCATCAAATAATCTCGTTTTGGTTCCAACACATGAATTGTTCACACATAGAGCTGAGTGAGCTTTCAACCAGTCACTCTGGTCGTCTTCAATACACTGACCCAATGAAACTTGTGACATGTCTTGTCAAAAGCTCAAGGTGAGAAAAAACTTCTTTTGTTGGAGCAAAGGTTAAACATGTAACTACTAACACAGATGAACTTTTATGATAGTGAAATGTTCTCAGTGGTTTAATTTTCATGGTTTTGTTTTTACCTTCCTGAAGTTGTACCCCTTGTGGGTTGTTGGAGGGTAACAAAGAAGATGAAGTAAATTTTGTTGCCATTCCTCCCCAGTCACCCTGAGGAACGTTGCAGAGTTGTTGGAGTTTGCCTCCGTGTTTAACTCTGCACAGCTGAAGGCAGCCTGTACACAGTTCATCTGTCTCAACATGGCACCACTGCTGGAGGCAAGGTCAGGTCATAGGGCAAGGGTCAGGGCATAGGTCAAGGTTCATAGTTGATTCTATTCAACATTGGACACATGAGTACAGTGTTGAGAAGCCATCATTTCAATTTGTAACTGCCTGTACACTTTTCACCATTTCATTTTTAAAAACCTCTTTCTAGACTATAATGCATGTATGATTATCTCTGTCAAAAGTTACATAATATTATGTAGACAGACATTTAGCATTAAATTGTGAGATTCCACATTTCTTGTATCGTTTTTTTGTGACTAATGCCTACAGATGCCTTGAGGTGTTGAGTGAGGATGTCCTGGATGACCTTGGTGCAGCGTACCGTGCCTCCATCCCGGCCATGTGTCGCAGGGTCATCACTCCTTATATGGACGGGCCTGACCTCAGCTCCATAGCAACAGAGGAGGACAGTCTGGAGGAGGAGTTCAGCATGGAGATGACTGGGTCTTACACTGAGGAGCCCTTCATCAGGTACTGACTCTCTAAGCTAGTACAAATACTTTGTCACCGTCAGACAATGAGCTCTTCTTCTCCACTTAGTACAAAATGTAGTAGCCTTAGCAAGTAAGCAGTCGTGGGTACACAGTGGTGGGCAGCAGTCTTAACACCACATGACCTACAGATCCACAATGGTGAGGCTGCACACTTGATTTAAATCAGTTGTCTATCTAGATACATGCACATGCCATGGTAAAGATGTACATGTATTACATAATAATGAAGGACGACTTGAGCTAAGGTGCAATGAAAGTAAGTTTTGTTCGTGCCATTTAGCAATGTTTTACATGCTGTACTCTCCGTTCTTACTTGTATGTCTCTGACTGTCCTGAATGTTGCTGTTCCTGTCCAGTGTTGAGGACAGTGGGTTTTCGCAGCGCAGACACAGGGACAGCACAGGCAGCCTGCACGAGCCGGTCAGTGGGTCCCCCAGCCAGGCGTGGAAGAAGGCTAAGGTAGGGTGTTTCTGAAAGGCAGCCTGCAGTAACTTTTGTGCTTATAGTTTCATCAAGGAGATTAAACATCAAGACCTCCTTGGTTTCATGAATATTGATTTCAAGTAAAACTTGGTCAAAATATGGTGTAACTTACACAAGATTGTAGAAATCTTTACATTTCTACACATACAATCTTGTGCCATGTGGATAGGCTTGGAATTTGGAAATGCTGTGAAGTTTTAGGAATAATCCCTCTTGGATCTTTTTTCTGTACTGCAGATTACAATTAAGTAAATCCTATTTAGAAATCAAGCATGTTGCCTTGTCAGATGTTTGTGCTCTTTATATGTTTCTTACTTCATGACAAATTGAAAGTGCTTAGTTTCAATAGTTGGACGTACATGATTTTTTCAGGCTAAACCCAAGAAACGCACACGTAAAAGAACAGACAGCACCAAAGGCCTGAACCTGTCTGACCTGTTGCCGGGTTACGTCCCGGTCAAAGGTGACCAGCAGGACGTTGACCTGCTCAGCAGGAGCTTTGAGGAGGTCAGAGTTCATGACCTGTCTGCAGGAGAGGATGATGGGAGAAGTTCTCATGGGGATCCAGAGAAAGAGGTAGTTACCATGGAAACAAACATCCTGCAATGTTGGAAATTGTACTTTTTAACTTGTCATAGTTGCTGTCATGAAAGTTCATCTGTGTTGGTAGTTACATGTTTTAAGTTAAAACTTTTGATCCAACACAAAGAAATCTCTCATCTAGAGCTTTCGACCAGTCCCACTGGTCTTCCTCAGTAGACTGACCCAGTGAGGCTGTTGTGTGGGATCAAAAGTTTTAACTTTAAACTTGTCACAGTTGCATTTGGGTTCTACTTCAAATTTGCAGCCTTCCCAACATTTAGAACATTTATTTTTCCTTAATTTGAATCACATTTTACTCCACAGAACCTGGCTCCTCCAGAGAGTGATGCCTCCTCACACCACGAGACCTCCAGCCAGGATGGATCCATCCCAGAATGCATCTCTACCCCACCCACAATGCAACCTGGTGCAGTGCCAAAGAAGGGACCATGGACCTGGGCAGGGTAGGGTCAAAAATAGTTCCTTAAAATTCTCTTGCTGCTCATCTCGTTATGGAGATATTTGACACTTGTTTCAGACTTAAAACTTAAAACAATCAGTGTTTTGATTAGTATAGTCCAGTAATACTTGAAATTTATCAAATCAAAAATATGTTTATTACAACTTGTTGCCCTAGGGCTAGTTGCAGGTAACAAATACATGGGAACAAAAAAATTATAAAAGCACCTAATTTAGCTAGTCTGGGAGGTGAAATGTCAAAAACTATGTCACACTCTGTAGGGTTTGACTAGTTTTTTTTACCATGGATCAGCCATAAGAGACAGACGTTTTTATCTCATGTCCAGACCCAGCAGTCCCCCATCCTCAGCCTTTGACCTGCGGCAGATCATGGCAGCCGAGCAGACGGCAGCCTACAGGAAGGTGCCGAACCTGCAGCTGCAGAAAACTGCCGCAGTGCAGAAAACAGCCGCAGTGCAGAAATCAGCCGCAGCACTCAGACCTGCTGTAGTTTCTCCCAGGACCCCACCTGCTACAAAGCCAACAAGGTATAAGCATAAAGGCTCATCTGTATTTATAAATAAAAGTTATAAGACTTTTGCATCAAGTTCCAATAGACAAGCCAAATCGGACAATTCTCGAATTTCTGCCAATGTGGAACTTCATCTATAAAATGGCTGAACAATTGTACAAAAATTACTTCAAATGTGTCCTTGACTTTGAACCTTATTCCATTGTCCTAGATACATTGTCAAAGAATTAGGAACACTTCATCAATACATACTAGATAGTTTTTATTCTTCTTATTGCCACCAGTGGAAGATTAGCTGTTCATGAAGCTAAAATCGATGGAGACACATTTCCAATAATTATCTGTACATCTTTAGTGTCCCGTCCCCGTCACCTCAAGGACTGGTCATCACCACTAAGATGTCTCAGAAGGAGCGGAAGAGACAGCTGAAATTCCAGGAAGATTCCAACGCACAGGAGCAAGCAGCACGTGCCCAAGGAAAACCAGTATCCAACCCATGGTGAGCTTCTGCTGTGTATCTGTATCACTCGTGACACATTATAACAGTTATTTATGATTATCATCTGATGCTTTCTATACACATCATTGGATGGGTGAGCAAAAAGTTTTCATGTTGGGATGATAGATAATAGTTTTAGGATGTAAAGAAATACATACTACTAAACAGTATACAAAATAATACCAGTAGTTGCATGCAAGAAGTTACATTGCCTATGACTAAATACAAGTCTGACAAGTCCTGGCAAATGTTAGGTTATAAAATCAATTTCCTGAGAGATGACAAAAATTCATCTTGTCTTGTGTTCTTTTGATATTTTTTCTACAATTTGCTGATTCGCTGTCTTAGTGTGGTCATGTCCCGGTGCAGCATTTAAAGCAAAAACAGGTTTGACCATATTTCTGTCCCCAGGGGCCTGACCCCCAGCCCTGCTGGCCCTGCCCTGTCCTTCAGACAGGTTCTACAGGAGGAGGAGGGTGGAGGCAGGGAGCCTGTCTCCATGGCAACATCTCCCCCATCACACAGTCGGGAGAAGACAATCAGGTAGGAACTGCGCCTGTCAAGTATTTCTTTGGCATAAAATACAAAACTTGGAACAGTGGAAAGAGATGAAAAAGACTGAATCCAGCTGCAGGACGTCTTCGTAAGGCAGTAGATGCAGAACACAGTGGATGATGATGATAATGTGCAATATAAAAACTATTGGTCTTTCAGTAGCGTCAAAAAGTTATGTTTTTGAAATCAAAAAACATTCTGTTTTTCTGCAGTTGGGGCTTGCCGGTTCATGGAGCAAAGCACCATGGGAACAAACCAGAGAAGCAGGGAGATTCCCCACAATCCCCCAGGTCACCCCAGAGCCCAACAGAACAGGCCAAGTAGGTTTCTTCTACTGTTATTATCAGAAATCATATCACTTTTGTTGATAATGCCTCATAAAGTGTCAAAGATGTATAAATTACCTCACAGTGCGTGCAATTAATACCGTCTTGTTCTGAAATCTGCAAGGTGAAATCCGAATAAAACAAGATTCAGGGCAGCTTTCTAGCCTTGAACCATCAAGGAGGTTGACATTTCCTTGGAACCACTACTCTATTACTCTGTCACAATTGAGACTGCACAAATATGCAAATTAGATCACGAGTATGCAAATGTTCTTCCCTCCCAGCCCGTGGCAGAGGAAGGTCCCGTCCAGCCCGCCGGCTCCGTCCACCGTTCAGCTGTCAGCCATCATCGAGTCAGAGAAGGAGCAGAGAGAAAACCTGGTCAGGGCAGCAAACAAACCTCTGGCACTTATTCAGGTTAGATCTCCGTAAATGTCTGAGAACTTTTGCCAATTTTCATGTTGTTACAAGATACACATTACAAATTTATTTTGTACTTAATCTTAGTCCTTATTGTTTTTTTTTTTAATTTCTATTTTGTAGTTTTTACCTGACCAAAAGTCACTGTACATTTTTTTACATTTATTTTTAATAAAGCTACTGTCTGTATCTGCCACCCTGAAAAATTGTGTCCAACAGCAAGAAACCAATGTTTTTGGAATTACTTATTTCCATACAGTAAATAGAATTTTAAGCTCTAGTTTGTAGTTTGTCTATATTATGAAAGTTACTGTACTTTTTAATAGATCAATAAAGTTTCTCTCTATATCTTTGATATCTATATGATATCTGCCACTCACAATCTGTGGAATGCCTGTTTTTTCTGTGTTTGTAGATAGAGGAGCGAGCCATACAGGAGCTGCTGGAGCACTACTCCGCTGCAGGTCACCCCGAGGAGTTCATCACCGTCGCCAGGGAGGTCAAGGTCACCGCGACCCCTGTATGGAGGGCTTAGCAGGTCAAAGGTCACACAACCCAGTGTAGACAGCTTGGGAGGTTAAAGGTCACCCAATCCGTCTGGAGAATTTTAGACTGAGAAGTTTCGAATGAAAACATTGAGAATCTAGATTTTGAAAAGTCCTGTCAAAAGATCTGCATTAAATTTTATTGTTTCGAAAAGGTAGTATGATTAGTGTCATCGCTTACGATGAGTGGGTCTTGCTACACATCCTGTGGTCTTGTACAATGTATGACTTGCATTTCTCATCAGTACACAGTCTTCATCACACATTGCTACAGGGCAAATATCTGAAGGCTTAACTAGGCTGTACATACAACATCCTTGATAACTTTAAAACAATTCGTCATATATGCCTGTATAACTTGGACTTGAAAATAATTTACTGGCAAAGGATCTGGACATTGTATGTGTTGCAATTTTTCCTACATATCCCCATTGGAATCCCCCTGTACTTAAGTAATACTATTGACTTTGACATGTGGATGAAATAGGCCAGGTTGCATGTCTATAATTATTTGAACAGTATTAAAGACTTGATTTGATGCAATTAAAGAGGTAACCTTACTCATAGCCTAAGGTTTAAGTGGTGCAATACTACTTATACTCTCCTCTTACACTACCAGTATAAGATCCAAACTTGTGATGTTTTGATGTTGAATAACACCTTGTATGATCTTCATGACTTCTCATTTACTCAGGTTATTTTTTTTTCTATTTTGTTCCGACATCTTGAAAATAGTGACAGGCTTAGACAAGTACGCCTATTGTTTTTCAGCTTTAATACCAAATCTGTATGTTACATGGTTCTTATGTAACATGTCTTTTGTGAGAATCAGAATAATGAGTGAAAAGTGTGTTATAATCTGTACATTGACAGCAAGAATTTATAATTTTTGCAGCACAAGAAATTTCTGTAACTGAATTACTCTATGCTCGCAATGTGATGTCGCTACCTTGGCCAGTTTGATTGCCAAACAGTTTGTATTGTTGACAGTATGCAATGTGCAAGTAATATTGATAAGGCTGTCACTACAAAAATGTTCTCTTAGAATGAAAAGGAACAAAATGTACAGAATGAAGTGTGATATCTTATAAAAATGCTTGAATCTGGCAATTAAATGAAACTTTTTGACAACATTCAGTCACATTTTTTATTATGGTCCATTTCCTCACTATGTACATGGAATAAAGACTTGTCTTTCAATTACCAAATATTGCATGTATAACAAAGTACCTGAAATAAACGTAAGTATCTGACTCCCTAGGAGTGAAAATATTTCTGTTGACAGTATGTGCATAATATCAAAAAAAAACTGCTAGTGGTCACCTGCATACGTACTATGTTTGGTGGCCATCTGTCTACTGTGACCATTTCCTAGGCATTCAAGTCCCTCAAGTATACAAAAACTCAAAACGGTTTTTATGTTTGTTGTCACTCATCAGCCTTTTCTGTGTATCTTTTTTCGTGCGTTGTGAATTACTTCATTGCAGCGCTTGGTCCTTCACTACATGTCTCATCACAAGCGCTGGTTGGTGAGGAACCTGTTGAACATGTCCAGTGCCCTGAGCTATAGCCTCGAGTCCAGCCTTGTTAGCTTTGGTCTGCTCCCAAAGATCTGCTGCCCAGGCCAAGAGGCGGACCAAAGCTAACATTAAACAAGGCTGGACACCGGGCTATCTGAGCAAGCATGTACAGTCAGGTTTCTAATGTCACGTGTTGAATCACAGTCGCTGGTTGGTGAGGAACCTGTTGAACATGTCCAGCGCTCTGAGCGGCTGATATCCGGGTACTTCATGCCCGGCGTTCCGAACTGTGGCGAAGGTCAGCTTGTCATAGACCACGCTGTATCCTCCAACCTGTGGGATGTGCGGAACAGAAAAAACAAGTTATTTCCATTTCAAAGAAAGAACAAGAAACAGCCACATCTACGAGATTCTGATTCATCAACACAGAGTATAATAGAGGTGCTTGACAAATACGTGCCCTTTAGTTAGACCTATTGCACATTGGACCTCATTTTCAGCATATTACTAGTAGGTGGACTACCTATTTACTTTCGAAAGCCTATGTGGAAATTGGCTTCAATGTTTCAAATAGACTGACAGAACCAACCGCCCGCAAGGACCTCATAGCCTCAGATATACAGACATTTTCGTAACAGGCGACAGCCAAATTTTGCGGTTTGTGGTCGAAGACGTAGTGACCGGCCGTACAGGACCATTTAAGAGTACCAACTCGGGCCAACAAGGTGGTTAATTTGGCCCATACAAACCTGCTGGTCGGACGCCGTCCATGCGCTCCACCCCTCCACCTCGGTGAGCGGCAACGCCCTGAGCCAGGCGCGGGTCCCAGTCACCGGCACGATGGCGTCCACATCCCCGCTGTACACCAGGATCCGCAGTCCGGCCGTGAACAGCCGCTTGTACACCGGCAGCATGGAGGTCAGCAGGTCCTTACGGGAGTAGTCTACTATGGTAGAGCAGGGCGTCCATCTGTGTGGATATCAAAATGAACAATAGATTAGAGAATATTAATTACAACGGCAACATGAAGTTCTAACCTGGTTCCAGATCTGCATCATCCGTCGTCCCTGTCGACCTTTGCTTTTCATTTTCGGTGGATAGTGGGTACTGGACAGCAGGCGCCAGAGACTTTCTGCAATCTTTGATCCACTGCTGGCCAATTGCACTCACAAGGCACGTATGTCATCTGCATAACGTGATGTCAGGAGCAGTGGATTGCTCATTCTTTGACAAAGGCTGGAGTTATACACTCGAAAAGTTCAATTTCTTGTTCTTGAATTATAAAACCATAATTGCATGCTCTTACTTGTACGGCAGGGTGGCGGCGTGGATAGTAGCGATGACGTCAGGTCTGTTGAGGTACTTTTCCATGTAGTCATCCTCACACGGGTACATCTTCCTCCCGACATCCTCCGCCTCTAACCTGCGCTGGGCGAACTTCCTCAGGACGGAGTCGGACCGGGCCAGTTGGCTCAGGAGCTGCCGTCCGCCCCGGCGTCTCAGGCACACGTCCACGTAGATGTTGTAGATGTTGATGTTTCCCATCTCCGTGTGGGCTGGACGAAGAAGGGTTTTTTTTTCAATTTCAACGTCAAAATATAATACAATACAATACTAGTACATAGTGGTGACGCACTCAAGCATCCAATAAGGTGTAGCTACGTATAGGTTAGAGGTTGACGTAAACTTTCCTTGTAATTATTTAAATGTATATTTTTGTGGCAATCTATTTGACTTTTACAGCGTAGTCTCATAACGTTGTCTCCAAAAAGACTTCTGGTGATCTAGTCTTTGCTGACAGTTACGATTTTGCCACCGCGGAAGATCTGCTTAGAGATTGCCATGGCGGTGCGTATGAGATCTGCGTTTATGATACCGTGCTTTGCCTGCAACAGTATTCGGCCCAAAGAAAGATCATCGCTCAGAAAACCGCAGTAAATATAAAAACGGTTCTAGCAACATGAAAACGTCAACCAGAGAGAACTGCTCTAGACGCTAAATCCGATGCCATTTATCCTCAGCCAACATCCAGTCTAGTTCTTACCTTCTGCCAGCAACATCTCACACTCATCCTTCAGACGACCGGGTGATGACGACAACAGCGCCTGTTCCCCATTGGCCAGAAGCGGCCCGATGTTGCTATAGTTACAGGCCTTGTTGATGCTGTTGTAGGTCCTGTCGGAGATGAGGGCGTGGCTCCACCAGAAGAATGTCGCACCGGCGTTATCCAAGTCTGGATCGGTCCAGGCGTTTCCAACCATAAATCCTGGAAGGTTTATGAAATTTTCGTTAGTTTTTTTGTTTGTTAAGCCTTTGTTCATGAAATGGTGGAAGAGGTAAGTTACTTTCCTTGGCGTATCCCCTTGAACATCTATACAGTCGCTTACATGTACAATGCTACCTTGTTTATTGGACTATATATTTATGCAGTATTATTTCTGCTGTATTATTGATTCAGTGTTATCATCACCCGATAGCACCCTAGTTCTGAGTCGCTAAAGGCGCCTGGCCGTGTTGTGCTCGATGTCGCTATCATACCAGTACGGCAGTACGTATATGGAGCATTATTATTGTGTTCAGTACTTCGCCGTTGTCTATTTTATATTCCAATGCAGTGGAGCTATAAAGATAAGCAGTCTCACATTACTACCAATTACGTGCCCTATTTGATATCATGTCGAACAATAATAACCTTCCAAGTTGATGCTTCCGGGCTTCACGGTGTTGTAACTGACGATGTGACTGGCGAGGTTCGGGACGTAATGCCCGGCGTACGACTCTCCCGTGATCCAAAACTTGTTCTTCTGGTACTGCGGGTATTTCTCCAGGAACTTCAGCATGAAGTCCAGACTGTCCTGGGCAGTCTGCCAGTCACCTGTATTTATACATTGTATTTATTGACGTATTTATTAACGAAACATGTCATCACTAGCCTAACACAGGCAGACTTAGCAGGTAATGACTGGCCCACAAAGAGTACAGATGTAATCCAATAAGAATAGTAAATTATAATCTAAGATAAAAGTAGAAAGGTAACACTTGCAAAGCAAATGCATAATGTTTACCCTCGCATATGGTCTGCTCTGTTAATTCTTACTCAAATACATTCATACATTATGGTGACAGGAGTCTAAATCCCTCCTGCTATAAAACTACAACATGATGTAACCCAACACCAGTTACCATGGCGACAGACGCCTGGTTCAGGTCATTGGTTTAGGTCAGTACAGGCAGATACGGCTGGTAACAACAGACCCACAAAATTTCAAAAAGTACAGACGTAAATTAAATAGACCGTAATACAATAAAAACAGTAAATTAAAATCTAAGATAAAACACAAGTCCTGCCTGTGGTGTAGTCTGCCGTGGTGTCGGAGTAAGAGAACCCCACTCCGCTGGGAGATTCCAGGAAAATAACGCTGGCGTTTCGGTTCCAGGAGTACGGGTTCAGGTCCAGCGTCTTGCCGTCCGGGTTCGGGGAGAACGGGCCGTTCTCCTCAAACAAACCGTTGAAGGAAGAACAGCCCGGTCCTCCGTTCAGCCACAGCACCTGGAACCGGAAATTCGTGATGTTTATAGACTAAGAGTACTACTAACTTAGAACATATTATTAACATGAAACATACAACATGAAAAGAATTAAAGCCTTCATCTCGCTAAAGTTTCTACCATTGGATTACCGGCTTGTAATTATAAGTTCTTAATTCAATTTGAAAGGGACATGTGGCTTAGAAGAAAGTTTCTATTAGGATGGCAACGTGAAAACTTGTTCCTCTGCTCTCTTCAGTGAAGCAATTTATTTACTAGTAGTAGTAAAAAGGGTTGAGTGTGTCTGATAATACTTCGCTACTAATCACCTGTTGTACACTAAGCCATCTATCAATTCTTTACCGAACTGCAGATACGAGAAATCGTTCAATAACCGGATTTTCTAGGATTTCCGATACACGTCAACACAGTCACAAACAACATGCATGTCATCTTCATACACAAGTTCATGTACAAGTGAAGGACAGTCCCTTAGCTTACCAGTGGGTCTCGTGCCGGGTCGTTTTGTGACTCCACGAACCAGTAGAACAGCCTGCGTCCGTGCGACTGGTTTACTGTGATGTAACCGGCGTACTGAGAGAACGGCAGGGTCGCGTTCAGGCCTGGCAGAGACTCGATTTTGTCAGAATCCGGCGTCTCTGGCCGAGAGAAGGCCTGCCCGGGACATGTTGCCAGAAATATTGCGAAAAGACAGACGTAGGGTCCCATTCTTACGTGTAGACTGTGCCTGTATACAGAGGATTGACATGAGGATTGACATGTCACGTGTGGCGAACAAGTGCTTTATTGGACTGGGATAGTCCAATTATCATATTGGGGGTGATGTAATAAAATTCAAATAACAAATTTGAACGACTAACTGTTACTTAGTACATACTTTTAAACATTTCCGTAATCTTTCAGCGCTTTCTGTATTGTTTTAAGATGATAGCTATCATGCTAAAAGCTCAAAAGAACGTTATAAAATCGTTTTTAAAATTGACTGCCTCCTCTTTCCTGAGTCGCTTCTTCCGGTCGTTGACCCCTTGTTTCCAAATGACGTCACTTCCCAGTTGAGAAGATGGCGTACGGACGGACAGGAACGTTCGACAAAACTAACCCTTTTGCGGACGACGAGGACGATCTAACCGGCGGGGATGAGGACGATGGAGGGTGGGACTTGATGAGGGATGAGTTGGCCACCCGGCAGGGTAATATTTCCCGCAGTACGCAGCGCTGCTTAGGCGCTATCGCCGAGTCGGAGAGGTGAGTTCCGCTCTTCTTCATGGCGTTTTCGAGTATCTGTACTTCCGGTAACGGTTTCGGACATTTCTGAAGAGGCCGTGACTTGTAAGCCATTCATTGGTCCTGATTTATGCAAACCAGTAGGTTGAAAGAATATGTTCAAAACTAGATGTTCAGCCTCAAAATATATCCTGCTTCTATAACGGTTGTCTATCAATTTATTATCTGTCACTCAGCAGATAATTAATTGATGACAAACTTCCATAAATTTTTACATGAATTTAATTGTGATGAATTTCTTAAAATGAATTACAGTGTGATGGTAGGTTATATCACATTCACTATCTAATATACCTTACCACCATGCACCATCTGTATAGCCGGAATAACTGCCCTTCCAGTGCAATCACCAAGCAGATCTTTCGGGGCCAGGCAGTATCCATTAGCGAGTAGCAAATGGATTTTGGCCAGAGGAGTCACTCCTCTGGCCAATGGATACTGCCTCACCACGGTATGATGTGCTTGGAGATTCCAGTGTGCCCTTCAGCAATCCCCAAGGAGCCATCCTATAACATGTTTTATTCCCCCAGAGTCGGCGTGGCCACAGCAGAGGAGCTTCTCCACCAGCGAGAGCAGCTGGAGAGAACAGAGAAGAACCTGGACAAGATAAACAAGGATCTGGACGTGTCCCAGAGGCACATCACCTCCATCAAGTCCATGTGGGGCGGGGTCATCAACTTCTTCAAGAAGAAACCTCAGGAGCCTCCACCGGTTGCTTCGGAACAGGAGACAAAAGGTAAGGATAAACCAAGAAGAGAAAACCCAAGAACAGCAACTGGATAAATAAATTCTATAAAGAGTCAGACATTTCATTTCAGATACTAGTATACAGTGTACTATCTTTTGTCAGTGAGCTGTATCTGCATCTGTATAGCTGGTATAACCGCTCTTTGGTGTAACACATCAGCTTAACCATGTGATAAGAGAATTTGTCCAGTACTTGATTTATTTTCTATTACAAAAAATGTTTTAACTTGGATGTGAAAACTACTGTTTTGTTTATGTGACACCAAGGAGCTTTTGTGATGAAAGCTCCTTGGTGACACATATCATTTCTAATTGTGCACTGTCATGACTGTACTATATATTTCATGTACATACCCCATACATAGCTAAGCTCTATAGCTTATTAGGAGGTACTCTGTGTCATGCTTTATATCACATTCTTAAAGATATTCTTGTGCACTTTGTCCCCACAGTCCAGGGTGCTCCAAAGCTGAGACAAGCCATGGAGGCGTCCCAGAACCAGCCCAGGCCGGCCGGAGAACACCCCGCAATGCAGCTACGGGACGAGAGCCGCTACGCACACGGGACCTCACAGAGCTTCCAGAAATGGAACGCAGAATTTGAGGACAACCTAGACGACATGTCAACCGGCCTGGGCACTCTCAAGTCGCTGGCTATGGGTTTGAATGACGAGATTACAGAGCAAAACGCAATGCTGGACAGATTAGGGGACAAGACAGACAAGTCGGAGTTACGAATTCATGGCACAAATAAGGAGATGAGAAACATGCTCAAATAATAATAGAGCTGTGTACTGCCAGCTTGTAGGATAGCCTGTCAGTTAATGCTTTGAATGAAATACAAGGAATATAAAGTGTGTTATTTTTGCAAACATTTTCATCTAGTATATATAACCAAATACATGTAATGTAGTCTTCTTTGTGTCAATGGCAAAGAAGTATAACCTTCTTGCATAATATGTAACTTTGACCTTCCTTAGAATTAGATTGTAGTTCTAGGTGATCCTGGTAGCTATCGTAAGATTCGGTGAGATGCCTACGCAAGTAGATCAAAGATGTATGTCTGTATCATTGCTTCTTGAGGCAGTGTTAGTGTTCGTGTTAGTTTTGTTAGAGAGTTAGATATGTCAAGTGGGTATATACCTTTGTACAATCTTTGTACATGTGGCCATTGCTTGTGGCCAGTTTTAAGTTATTCTAATGTTTCATGTACCATAACTTATGTAAGATTTGTAGAAATGTGTAACGTTAGATACAATCATACAAGCAAGGAGCTTCTCCCTATAAGTTCCTTGATACAAGCAAAATTTCTGATCACCAGGAAAGGACTAAAACTGTACATTAAAATGGGACATTAGTAAATAAGATAATGTCATCACTGCTGCTATCTGTGTTCTTATAAGCCATCCAAAAATGTTGTGGTCATTTGAGCTATGTTTTGCTTTTTCACAGTATGAGATGCCTATTCAATTTTTTTTGTACATTTGGAGGTATGACTTGATTTTTGTCATAACATGAGCATGTACCAAGGTCCGGAATATACTGTAGTATAACCTAAGTTTTTAATAAATAAATTAATAAACATGTTGCACCTGTTGTTTCAATTTATGATATCCACAGGCCCATATTCCCACAGTATATCACATAATACTATGTTATGAATATCAAGGACATTATACTTTATGTCCTTGTTAATATCAGGACAATATTTGTAGATAAAGAGCATAAAAACACTTTCACACACCCTCTTTTGGTAAGTGAGGGCATGCTTAAAGCAGAATACATATCCTCTTGGACAAAAATTGGGAAACTCTCAAAAAGACAGGACTGTGAACCTTTCAAGATATCCTCTTTCAACTAAAATTCTTACAACTGTGACATGAAATCAAGTAACACAATTTAGTATAGTGTCAGCAACGTTTTTTTTTTTTTTTGAAAAGGGACTTTCCTACGGTCATGCAATAAGGTTGAAAGTACATGTACAGAATCATTGCTTTGGCTGTTTGGATGGAAACGCTCCAGAGGCGTTGCCAAAAAATGGTGTGACTGCCTTAGTGCACATGCGCAGTGAGAAATCTCGTGCACTCTCGCTCCTAATGATCACGTGCCGCGAGGTTTGGGCGCCATTTTGAATGTAATTTTTGTTTTTCCAAATTTGCAACTTCGCGTCGGTTTATTGCCCGTTGTGATGAATTGAGGAGCTTCAGAGCGCCCACGTATGACTAAACCGGAAGATCAGGTATTTGTACTCAAGTTGCGATCCTTTCTTAGAGCGTGATTTTCACGGATTCGTTGCAAATCGGTGTGAATCGGGGGGAGGGACCTGCTCAGAGATTGCCCCACTTTTGCATGTTGCACAAACCAATCAAGTTTCGCAACGTTTTTTATTCCCGTGTGTCTCAACTTTCACTCCTTTCACCTGGCCGATCTGTCCAACTTTTCATCCCACGAACACAAAGTAAAATCTCAGGAAGTGAAGTTCATCAAACAGCATCATATCACAGTGTAGACATATATATTATAACGTTGTGTTTCCTCTTATACTAACTGGTGCATGACTTGGCTAAACTAGAATGAAATGTATCAAATTGCTCGCTACACATAAACTTCATTGAATCATCATGATAGTAGGATTCCCCGTGACAAAGAACTTGAGTTCCCCATCATATTCCCCAAGGCGTAATCTCGGATGTATTGTCGTGACTTGTGCATGTTTGGGGAAGTCCCCTGTCCGGCTAGTGTGTGTGTGTAGACGTAGGTTTACATTTTTTGCGGTCTACTGATCTCGTGATCTGCCCCCGCCTCACGGTAAATAGTTCCTCCTTCCTTCTCTCTCATTTCTATCTCTCCAAACCGTCGCTACAGGCGTGTGTTTGTGTGTTTGCTTGTCTGTGTGTGTAGAAAGGTGTTCCCGTGGAGTTGAGTCACCCCCCTGAAGCACGTGTGTCCGGGTGTGTTATTATTTACACGTGCGGTGGAAGAGGTGAGTCATCCCTATTTTACACCTGTCGGACGTCACCTCACCTGTGACACTTTGACGTCATTCAGGTGTTCTTAAGGTTCTTAAGATCAAATCCTCAGGATCCTTAAGGTCATGGTCTTCACTTTAGGTAGGATCTGTTGTTGTTAACTTGTTTAGGCAGGTGTAGATTTACTGATCATATAAACAAGCTTCAAAGTAATTATATGCTGATAGGATCTTGGCCACTACAATTATATTTTTGTCAAAATCATTCATAATTTCATTCCAATAAGGTACAATCTTGTTTAAGACAAATAAGTAATGAACATAAAAGATGAGGGTAGATCATGTATTACTGATCACACTAACAGTCTTCAAACTTTAATGATATGTTTACTTGGGTCCTCTCCAAAACATTAGTCTATTTTAGTAAAGAATAGCATTCATAATTTATTCTGGAATGTTGTTCAAGACACGTGAACAATGAAGATCAAAGATGAAGGCATATATTATGTAGCTACACATAAACAATCCTTACTTTTCTTTTTATATAATGGTGGTACAAGTCTGTGACACAGTTGTTTTGAATTCATTATTCCTATTGATAAGGCCATGTTGCTTTGATTATATGGATGACATCCGCGCGCGCATGAATTTTCGGCTGTTTCCAATAAAAAAAAAGTTTTCAACCATACTGTAAATCGTGCAAAAACAGTTGCTAAGTGAGCAAAAATATACCATAAGTTGCAAGGAAAACATTTAGAAACGATACCAATGTCGTAGAATGCCAAAATCAAAGGAAAAAAGACAAAAATGTAAAGAAATGAATTCGAAGAGTAGATTATTCACCATAACATATTCTGTGCCATTTGTTCAACCTTCATGACCACGTAGATTTCATAGTGAAAGCAACTTTTTTTTTT